CGGTGGAGCAGGCTGGACCCGGCAGTGGAGGAGGAAGCGGGCCCGCTGACGGAGAAGGAGGCGGGCTCGGCGATGGAGGAGGAGGTGGGGCCCATCAGCGACGGTGGAGGAAGAAGAGGCGGACACTCCGGACAGGTAAGGAGTGCGACCAGCCCATCTGAGGGTAACCCTGCAGAGCCCACCATAGAGAGTCCATGGTGGGCTCTGCAGGGTCACCCTCAGGTGAGCTGTGTGGGATCTCAAGTGGGCTCTGCAAGGGGTATAACTAGAAGTCACAGGGCCCCATACAAAATGTTGCTATGGGGCCCTGTGATTTCTAGTAACGCCCCTGTTAGTGCCCCATCCATTCCAGACTGTAAGGCAGAATGGGGCCCTAAGCAAGGCAGCAACTTTGCCCCCCATCCCTTCGATCGACATCGATAAGGATTGCAATAGACACAAAGAAGCCACCCCATCTGCATTGTCATGTCCCACCGCATCAGTTCGACTGCCTACAAGTTCGATTGCCGTTGTTAAATGAAAGGCAGGTGCACATGTTTGATTAATTGTGCTATTCTTCTGGTTTATTGCAGGTGGATAAAGTTTTGTATCTGAGCCCCACAGACATCCACTGGACCTGCGGCTCTTGCATACGTTGCCTTGTAGATGACCCAGCTCTGATCCTTAACTACACCCATCACTGTTGGAATACCGCACAGTTTCCTCTCTATTTACATCACTACTGTTAATCACCTTTTTTCTTTCAACACTACTTGGAAGCAGACAAAACTCAGATCTACCCAACCACATCTGTCTCACTCAGCCCTTATAATCATTCCAAATGGTCTCTTAGACATTTCTTCATTAATATATAATGATCCTGTGTATTAGTTCATGCTGTCTACTTAGGATATTTATATATTTTCAAAAAAGCACCATGCGCCTGCACATTCTAAAACGCAACGTTTGGCTTGTACATCTGCACTGGTTACACATCTTCAATGGTAAACAAGGTAAAAGAATAATTCTCGTACATGGTATTAATAATCATACATAACCATAGCATCGTCTAAGGACCATTTGAGTACCATAGTTTTCCACCATTGTATCTATTAACTCCATGTGACCCCATCTTTTATTTTGTACCAAACAAATTGGGTATTATATTCTGTTTGTGTGCACTACAATTCATTTACAGTGTTATTCACTAAGCTGCCGAAAGCATCCGAGTGAATAACCGAGCCGAAGTGAACAGAGCCGAACGACATTTGGCTATTCACTCCTAAACAGTACGGCTGATTCCAGACGTACATTGGCTGAAAACAGCCGTACATCGGCTGCCTTCGGTGCAGAAGGACTTCGACTCAGCCGATCCAACATTTGGATCGGTTGAGCAGAAGCTCCGGCAGCTCACTCGCTGCCGTTTGCCCCTATTTCCATAGAGGTCGAACGGCAGTGAGTGATTAGCCGAATGCTGCCGAGCGGCATTCAGCTCGGCTATTCTACTCGGTACCTCCGTAGTACCAAGCAGAATAGAAAACAAGTGCAAAAATTATTTTTTTTTTTAAATAAAAAAAGATGCAAACGGATTTGTTATATAAAGGAAGATTTAAAGAAAATACATGTATTTTCTTTTTAAAAAAGAAATCTAAAAAAAAATTTGGCGGGGCTAACAGTGACAGCTAGCTCCGCCCAAGTGTTTTCTATTGGTCGGCACCTGCCAGAGTCTTCAAGCAGCTCCCGGCCAATGAATGGGCGGAGCTGGTTGTGACATCATTGTTTAATGACAGATCAGCGTACCCAGGTCATTTAGGGATGCTGACCTGTCATTACAACTGGGCGGAGCCTGCCGGGAGATCACATGCATATGCTTTCGACTCGGCCGCTTTCGGCTGCTGTATGGGCTATTGTGAATAGCCCATACAGCAGCCTTTCGGTTTGAATGAACCGAAGGGCTCTGCCGGCTGAAGAGAACCGAAGGATCAGCTGACGCTACGGCTGGATCTTTCTGCTCCTTTGTGAATAACACCCACCCTCATGGGGATCCGATGAGAAATGGAGTGCAGCAGCAAGTGGGGTGGCAGAGGAGGGAGCTGTCACTCAGGGCGTCCTTGCGGTGAGAAGAGAGCCACTCGGCCAGGATCTGACAGCCGGCAGGTCTTTCTTTTCTCACTGCTCGACCATCCTGAAGTGACATCGCTAAAAAATAAAGCCCCCCCCCACCCCACTCACAGACTCATGCACACATATTATTAGACATGTGCAAAGAAATTTGTTTCAGACGAAATGAACAGAAACCTAAAATGTTTTCATTAGTTTCGTCAAACAAAACAAATTTTTATGCTATTTTGGATCCTGGAGGCGGGGTGCATGACGCCACATAATCCCGCGCATGTGTGGCGTGAGGTGACATCGCACGTCTGTTGGGGGGCACAATGTTCTGTTCTTGCCTCGGGCGCAAAGGGAGCTAGCTACGGCTCTGCTGTGGGGCACCAATCCGGAAACTGTACTTTTGCCAAGGTGGCTGCGTGCTGTCGAAGAGAACTTGATTGAAGATATCATAAGGTAAGACTAAAAAACACGTTCTCTGAGAGAGACACAGACATGTCCATCATCTAAGGACAGTGGCAAATATGAGGCTCTGTGGTGGTAGGATATGTTATATAGACTCCAAACAGCTTTGGTCAGTGTCCAATCACCTATTGGGATGCTATATAACCCAAGTGTCTTGATTATCCCGTCCTGTACAGTATGATCAAGAAATGATTATTGCCATGCAGGGGGCCATGGACTCCTCAGCATATCACAGATAGAAGTTTGACATGAAATGTGACGTCAAATATGAATTCCAGTTTTTTGTAGCTTTAGCTGTACAGCAGTGACTACCCCATTATGTTATGGAGGTGACACAGATTTGTTTGACCTTTTTTTAGACTACGAGCTCTTTTGGACAGCATGCTAATACATATTGTTTTATGTCTTTCCATAGTTTAAAAGTATAGTAATTTGTTCCTGTATATGCTTTGTTCTGTGCCACTAATATTGATATTAAAGTAGAACTGATCAAAAAGTAAGGGAAGATTATACCCGTCAGATTTTTTTAGCCATCTGTGTCCCACATTTACTTCCTGTCTGATAGCCACACCAGGAAGTAAGAAGAATTCCGTATAAAGTGAGGGAAATCCCTGGTGGTCAGCAGTGTCACCGGAACTAGTGTCTACATTGGAAGAATTTCCTATTTATTCTTGATCTGGTGACAACCCAACATTTGGGATTTTCTTTCACCTTTAGTGATAACGATTCGCCAGGACAAATAGAGAGGGAGAATCTCCCTACCAACCAGACAGGTGACCTAATCCCTCTCCATTTATCCAACACCTAGAAAACAATTGGCTTCAGTTGCACTTTAGCATTCCCCTTTTTCACCAAACTCTCAGCACGTTACAGCCGTCCTGGCAGCCATAGAATGTGACATCAATGTGGGTATTCATTTTTGCAGTAGCTTCAAAACTACAGTAATGACTACAATGGCGGACAAATCTGACATTTTGTGGAGGCAGACAAGACAGAATATTGATCTTTTACACAGCAAGCTCCAGCACAGCGTGCTCACACATATTGTTTTATATCTTTCAGTATAATACCATGTCAGTGGCGTGCTACTCCATGTCAGTGGCGTGCTACTCCATGTCGGTGGCGTGCTACTCCATGTCATTGGCATACTACCCATGTCAGTGGCATACTACCCATGTCAGTGGCATACTACTCCATGTCATTGGCGTACTACTCCATGTTATTGGCGTGCTACTCCTCATTTAACTAAAATAGCGCCAGATACAATTCCTGGCAGTTTGTTATGGAAAGTGACATTGCAGGGTTATTATCCAGTGTGTTATATGCATGTCTTTGTCATTTAACGGTATATGTGCCATGCAATGAAGGAGGGTATTCCTCCCAGCACAGGGCTCGGACTGCAGCTAGCGGTATATGTCCCATGCAGTGAAGAAGGGTATTCCTCCCAGGACTGCAGTATATGTCCCATGCAATGAAGGAGGGCATTCCTCCAAGCAAGGGCCCAGACAGCAGTATATGTCCCATGCAATGAAGGAGGGTATTACTCCCAGCACAGGGCACAGACTGCAGTATATGTCCCATGCACTGAAGGAGGTATTCCCCCTAGGACTGCAGTATATGTGCCATGCAATGAAGGAGGGTATTCCTCCCAGCACAGGGCCCGGACTACAGTATATGTCCCATGCAATGAAGGAGGGTATTCCTCCCAGGACTGCAGTGACTGCCCCATGCAATGAAGGAGGGTATTCCTCCCAGGACTGCAGTGACTGCCCCATGCAATGAAGGAGGGTATTCCTCCCAGGACTGCAGTGACTGCCCCATGCAATGAAGGAGGGTATTCCTCCCAGGACTGCAATGACTGCCCCATGCAATGAAGGAGGGTATTCCTCCCAGGACTGCAGTATATGTCCCATGCAATGAAGGAGGGTATTCCTCCCAGCACAGGGCCCGGACTGCAGTATATGTCCTATGCTCTGAAAGAGGTATTCCTCCAGGACTGCAGTATATGTCCCATGCAATGAAGGAGGGCATTCCTCCCAGGACAGGGTCCGGACTGCAGTATATACCCCATGCAATGAAGGAGGGTATTCCTCCCAGCACAGGGCCCGGACTGCAGCTAGCACTGCCACAATTAGCCTAGCAGTATATCCCCCGGGAGGTGTCAGTGATGATTTCATCTCCCCTCCCCCTCCTCCTCCATCATCTCTCCGCACTCCGTCCTCGGCTCTCCGGTTCCTGTCACGTTGTTGTGTTTACGCCTCATCGTTCGCCCAGCCTCCTGGCCTGATGCCTCGTTCCATAGGGGGAGGCCTGCAGTATATCGCTGAGGAGGACAGCCAGTCCCTGAGCACTGACACCAAGGACTGAAGAGGGAGGGATGAGCGGTGCTGAGGATTGTTTACATCAGCTGTGCACACTGCGTCAGCCCTCATGAGGTGACTCGGCAGCCCGGCTCCCCTTCTCTCCCTGTGTGCAGGTAAGATGGCTGTGTGCATAGGAAGAATGCATTGTAGGGGAGCTGAGGAGGGAGATCATGGCGCACATGGGGTGGACAGGGGGCTCTGACCGATCACTGTGTACATGGATTATCATTGACAACACTGCTACTTTATAAACTTCCCTCTCATGGTCCATGTGCTGTGTCCATGGTTCTGATTGTTGTCAAGGGTCCATGTGCTGAGTCCATGGTTCTGATTGTTCTCAAGGGTCCATGTGCTGTGCCCATGGTTCTGATTGTTGTCAAGGGTCCATGTGTTGTGTCCATGGTTCTGATTGTTGTCAAGGGTCCATGTGCTGTGTCCATGTTGCTGATCGCTGTCATGGTCCGTGTTCTGTGTCCATGGTGCTGATCGCTGTCATGGTCCGTGTTCTGTGTCCATGGTGCTGATCGCTGTCATGGTCTGTGTTCTGTGTCCATGGTGCTGATGGCTGTCATGGTTCATGTGCTGTGTCCATGGTACTGATGGTTGTCATGGTCCATGTCCTGTGTCCATGGTGCTAATCTTTGTCATGGTCCATGTGCTGCGTTCATAGTGCTGATCGCTGTCATGGTCTATGTGCTGTGTCCATGGTGCCGATCGCTGTCATGGTCCATGTGCTGTGTCCATGTTACTGATGGTGTTGATCGTTGTCATGGTCTATGTGCTGTGTCCATGGTACTGATGGTGTTGATCGCTGTCATGGTCTATGTGCTGTGTCCATGGTGCTGATCGCTGTCATGGTCCATGTGCTGTGTCCATGGTACTGATCGCTGTCATGGTCTATGTGATCCTAGATAGTGGCATGGAGGCAAGCTATGTCTGCATGGAGTTTGCATGTCCTCCCTGTGCTTGCCTGTGTTTTTTCCAGGTACTCTGATTTCTCCCAAAGACGTGCTGGTTGGTTCATTGGCTCCTCCCACGTAGGTATGTATATAGCACTGACAATATGCGCTGTATATACCTTACATTCTCATCAGTGCGCAAGGAGCTTGCAGAGTCCCGCTCTCACATGCATACATGCATTGGATGATTTAGGAAGGAGCCAGTTAGTCTCCCAGCATGTCTAAATCATCCCATGTATGTATGTACAGCATACCTGGCGATGTGGGATCACATGCATGGGCTTACACCGATTGTACAATCTTCTTTAGATTTACCAACAGCTATGTCGTGTATGTCAGTGTTCCTCAACCCTTTTTCATTCACTGCACCCTTATCAGGGTCCCTCCTTTCACATTAGAGGCTCCCCTTCATATCAGAAGCACCCTTCACACCAGAGTCCCTCCTTTCACATTAGAGGCACCCTTCACACCAGAGTCCCTCTTTTCACATTAAAAGCCCCCTTCATACCAGATGCACCCTTCACACCAGCGTCCGTCCTTTCACATTAGAAGCCCCCTTCATACCAGATGCACCCTTCACACCAGCGTCCCTCTATTCACATTTAAAGCTCCCATTCATATCAGAAGCACGCTTCACATCAGAGTCCCTCCATTCACATTAGAGGCTCCCCTTCATATCAGAAGCACCCTTCGCACAAGAGTCCCTCCTTTCTTATTAGAAGTTCCCCTGCACATCAGAAGCACCCTTCACACCAGTGTCCCTCCTTTCACATTAGAAGCCCCCCTTCAAATCAGAAGCACCCTTCACACCAGAGTCCCTCTATTCACATTTAAAGCTCCCCTTCATATCAGAAGCACTCTTCACACCAGAGTCCCTCCTTTCACAGTAGAAGACCTCCTTCATATCAGAAGCACCCTTCACACCAGAGTCCCTCCTTTCACATCAGAAGCCCCCTTCACATCAGGAGCCCTCTTTACATCAGAGCTTCCCCTTTATATCAGAGTCCCCTTTCATATTGGAATCCCCCCCTTTTACATCAGAGTTCCCCCTTCACATTTGAATCCTACCATCAGAAAATGTTGAGGCACCCCTGAGAAAGCCAGAAAGCACTCATTGTGTCATAGCACCCTGGTTGAGAAAGGCTGGTCTATGTAGTGCCAGGACCTCTGATTGGATACAGCTTGCTTGGCTATATTAGGTAGCTCCTCATATAACATTGGCTGGTCTATGTAGTGCCAGGCCTTCTGATTGGATACAGCTTGCTTGGCTATATTAGGTAGCTCCTCATATAACATTGGCTGGTCTATGTAGTGCCAGGCCTTCTGATTGGATACAGCTTGCTTGGCTATATTAGGTAGCTCCTCATATAACATTGGCTGGTCTTATGTAGTGCCAGGCCTTCTGATTGGATACAGCTTGCTTGGCTAGATTAGGTAGCTCCTCATATAACATTGGCTGGTCTATGTAGTGCCAGGCCTTCTGATTGGATACAGATTGCTTGGCTAGATTAGGTTTTTCCTCATATAACATTGGCTGGTCTATGTAGTGCCAGGCCTTCTGATTGGATACAGATTGCTTGGCTAGATTAGGTAGCTCCTCATATAACATTGGTAAAGGTTGATTGTACAAAATTGTACAGTCAGATTGTAATGTGTATGGTGACCCTAAGAAAAGACTTGGAGACCTACCTCTACCTATAAAAAAAACTTACCATAGAACATTCCGTGGAAAAAGCTCTCAAGCTTATCCGATATGTTGCCCAGAGAGCTGGCCCATAAAAGAGAATCGGATACAACTGAACAGATCACACACAAGCACTGGCCACTGGCCAAGTTTTCTTTCCCAGTGGATGTATTGCAGTGATGCTGTGATAACGTATATGTAGGTTTTGTTTCTTTAACCCCTCAGATACCACAATACACCCTTTTGAGTCCACACAAAAAAATATCCAAGCGCTAATTAACCTTGCAGCAGAGAACTAGGGATGTGCAACTGTGTGCGCTCCCAGTTCTCAAGCCTGATATCAGACTGAAAAATTAGCCATGGAGTTATTGTCAACTAAATGTGGTCTGGGCATCTAAGTGTCAAACAACGCTGGCCAGGAAAGGGTTAAAAAGACAATTGCTTGGTTTAAAGCTGAACTCTGCGCAAAAAAAATAAAATCATGTAAATATACTCCTCAAAAGTCAGAGAAGATATAAATCTATTTTCTGTGCACCAAATACCTTTTATTACCTGGTAAAGTATCAGTGACATCATCACTAAGCTACACATAGCCTGTGCAGAGAGCTGTAACGCACGGGCCGAGGAGGTTGAGGTAGGATCGCAGCTGCGGAATTTGGCTTGAACCTGAGCGTGAGGATATGGCTCAGATCGAGGGTTTTCGTTATCACTCTGTATGTGAGGGAGTGATGTTGTAACCCTCTAGCACATCATACGCCAATCCGTATCGAATGGGGGGTTGGAGTTCCCCTATAGGTATGCTCAGGAGTACCCCTGGGAGGCTATATCCTGATCCAGCGGCCTCTAGTTATTATCAATCGTAAGAGTTATTGCAGTCACCTTAACCCCACACTCTCCACAGAGATCACAGGTATATGGTTTACAAGAGGAGCGGAGCAATAATGGTAGCATACAGTTTTGGGAATTAAGTAGCAGATTACTGATCTGTAGTTACATTAATAGCACTACTGAGTATTTGCTGACACTTCCTATGGAGTAGCCACTAGGGCAGGGTACTTGCGATTTGAAGGATGGTTCTACAGTCCATTAACCTCTCCAGGGACTCTAGCAGTATTGTCCTGTCAGTTCCAGAGAGAGATCTGTCCCACTTGCAGCCAGAGGAGAGCAGGAGGAATCGCTGTGAATCCCCCACGGTACTGGAGGAAGTTTGGCAGAGGAGAGCGGCAGGCTGGAGAAGAGGTGTGCGGGTTCCTGTGTCCACTATTCGGCAAGTTGCACTGGCTCGACGGTCGCAACACTAGAACGCCGAGCCATTGCAACTGGCGTCATTATGAGGAGGAGGATCGAGAGGGGGAGGAGCCGAGCGTGCCGTGCGCCGCCTCGGCGTCCTCGTGACGTCACGCCGCTGGGTGAAGAGGCCGGCCCGCGGCCCGAAGCGCCGGACCCGGGATACACTATGACAAGAGCAGAGCTGTGGGAGGGACTCAGCAGACCCCTCCCACTACAGGATGCCTGCAGAAAGCTACAGGAGGGGGGCGGAGACAAGACCAGTCACCTTGCACAAGGAGAGAGAGCTGCTTTGACCCGGTCTTTTATTACAGGAGGCTCCAAGTTCCAGACTGGATTACTGCCCAGATCTGAAAGAAATACACAAAGCTCACCAAGATTCAAGTAAGAATACACATGGAACATTTGTTTATCCCGGAGTTCAGTTTTAAAGATCTAGCTAAATGGCATTGTGAGGTCAGGAAGGACTTTTTACACTTTTGACCAACCAGGACGTGAGCAGCCTTCTATTTGGGGGTGTTATGATGATGATGATGATGATGATGACATAGAAGATAGTTGAATTTGATGTATTTATATAGGAAAACTTGAAAGGTATCTGCATTTGGTGCAGTACTATGAGGGGGGGGGTTTATTATTGGTGACAGGATAACTTGGTCCCGTTAGTAAAATGAAGTAACGTAAAAGATTCAGGAGCAAATTAAGAATCCAAAATCAGTCTAATAATATGTGCTTGGATCATGAGATCTCATGTAAAATATCCACAACCAGCTCACTATTCACAAACTTTAGCTTTCCACTGTGAGATTTGTCTTTTAGTCTCCATCATTCAGAATAGAACGAAGTCGGGGGGGATACGTCGTCTGATGTCTTTCCTGCAGGACTCAATGTCAGCATCCTGTAGATAACCTTCCTACCCCATGGAAAAGGGGAAATAACCAGCAGAATGAAACATGAAGGTGATGCACTGTGCTCCTCGCAAAACCGTTCTGGTTTCAATACGTCTCTTGTGTTTTCACACATGTGAACAGGATGGCTGGTTTCAGAATAATCATTTGTTTTTGGTGTAACGTATGCAGTTCACTTGCCAGAAAAGCAACGTAACCGCAGCTCGGATAGAATTGTATCTCCATGTTTAATAAAGGGTTATCTTTACATATTAAAGCCTTGTATTCTCCAAGCA